TTATTATTATTATTATTATTATCACATAGCAACGCTCACTAAAGGTACTCACAGGTCTGTGGGATGCCCCACAAATTCAGTCTGCTCTGTGCCATCGCTGGACACTGCAGCTCTCCCAGCTCCATTTCTTTTATTGTTTTATTTTTTTTTCCCTTGGATTATGTAAATAAATATCAATATTCTAAACCAAAGACCTCCCAGTAACGAAATATTATTTATCTTAAATTTATCTGAAAACTAAACAGCGTTGTCACACATGTACAATGAGAAAGCAACAAATGACAAAGGAGGAATGTGATGCGATTGGTTTTATTCGAGGCGCCCGCGTTACACAGCGATTTGTAACAAGGGAGTTTTCACAGTTCATCCAAGATGTGGTCAAAACTTTGACCACTTTTGTGGTCAAAACTGATGTCTCACCAGCAACAGGAGACATCACAGCCTGGTTGGTTGGTTTAGTTTTAGTTATTCCTCACAACAGTGACTGTTTTCAAACCAGAGCAGGGAAATCCGCCGCTTCGCCGGGGAAAGGCAAGAACATTTACACACGTTGCCTGAATTTGGGGTTATTTTTGGGATATTAAATTGATATCCCAAGGAGAATTCCTGACAATTAACCCCAACATCTTCTTTTGTGACCAATTAACACCCGACAGCGGAAGGCTTAACAAAAAAATACCTTTCTTATTTTATGGCCATCAATACTTGCGTGGCAGCTCGTGGCATTTTGCACCCCAAATATCTGAGAGACCACACACACACACCCCCACTCACACACCTCACACACACACACACATCCACACACACACACACACACACCTCACACATCCACACCCCAGACAGATCTTTGCCACTGGTGTCTCTCACTCGGCGGTAGCGGTGCCGCCGCTGTCATTCCAGCAACGCGCTCCGGCATTTCGGAGGTGACAATCTCCCGGCAGCTCCTCACCCAGAGCTGTTCCCAGGACATGACACTGCACGTTGAGGGACATTCAGCAGCGGGATGGCAGAGCCAGAGGATCTTCTCTGAGCCTTGAAGTGAGTTGAAATCTCCCTGCCGGCAGTGGAAATCTGTCTGGGTGAGGATCAGAGGATAAAAACTAAAGACTTTGAAACCATGGAAGAAATTATTTTCAACCTCTGTAGTTCTTGGAACAATGTTTGCAATGAGTAATTGTAGCTAAAAAAAAATATAATTAATAATAAAATAAAAAAATAAAAGGGTGAGCATAACTTCAGCAAAGCCCAGCTTAGCAAGAATCCTGCTAATGCTGCTTCCTTCACTGCCGGCAGCTCCGGTAACGGTGATCCGGGCGCCCAGCCAAGCTACCCCCATCAATCCGGCAGGTACAGGAGGGATACAGCACAAATAGTGGCTCAATCCTGCCAGGTGCTGAGCACTGACCCAGCCAAGCACTTAAGCACACGCTTCATTGAATGATGTGAGTGCCAAGAGCTCACTGTGGGGTTTTTTTTTTGTATTTGCTGGACCAGAGCTAAAGTTTTCAGCCACTGCAGGATCTCAAGGGCGCAGGAAGTCTTCTGCTCAGTTGTGGGTGCCAAAAGGGAAGGTGAGTTTGAAGAACCATCAGATAACCACAGAATAAACACCAAAATGTAACGCAGTAACTGCTGTTGAGCTGCATTTTCAAGGAAGCATCATAGAATGGTTTAGGTTGGAAGGGACCTTAAAGATCATCCAGATCCAACCCCCATCAGCCACTCGTGCTGCTCTCACCAGTGTCCCTTGCATTTGCCACCAGCCACTGGCAGAGATGGAGGTACAAGCCAGAGGGGACTGACCCAGCCTGGCTCCTCTGAGGTTGTCTGGAGCACAGAGATATATGAAGCTATAGGAGGGAAGTGGCTGGGCACGGGACAGGCTTTTGTGGGCGGC